CGACACGACATGTCGTGCCCTACAGGCTGTGTCTCTTAGGCACGCGGGCCTGTCCTTTGACCTAGGCACAGCCTGCTAGGCCATTTTTCGGGCCGGGCCGGCCCGTCAAGCACGACCAATCCAGCGTGCCGGGCTGGCCCGAGGCCCATAGAGAGAGGGAAGAGGAGAGCAGGAGGCAGCGGCGCGGTTGCCCTGGAGGTGGGGCCACGCGGGGAGGCTTGGAGGAGGCGGATGCCGGCGCTCTTGAATCCGACCGTCGCCACTTGAATATGGCTGTGGACGCCATGTGCGGGAGGAAGACGTCCGCGCCACCGAAGAGAAGCGGCGCCGCTCGAGGATGGATGCATGGGGGAGGGGCCCGGAGGGGGGCGGAGGCCGGAGCGGCTCGAGGTTGAGGCCGACGTGCGGAGGATGGGGGGCCATGGAGGAGGCGGTTGGAGGCCACCAAGCCGGAGCCGCTCGGCGGTCGGAGGACTGGAGGAGGAAGCCGGACGACCGGGGGCGTGGAGGAGAAGCCGGTCGCCATGCTTGAAGACAAAGGAGGAGCGACTAAACGAGCAGGGGGCAAGACGCGGGGAGGAGCAGAGTGTGCTATGTGCGACTCCGCCGACTCGCCTGCGAGTGCGGGTGTGCGAGCCACGCGGGGTGAGGCCGTGAGGGGGGGGCACGGGGGAAATTAGGGTTAGGCGGGCGGTTTACAATAGGTAGTGGCCTAGGCTAGGAGCGCATGTAGGGACCTTTAGCAGGCCACACTAGACAACGGGCCGGCACCGGGCCTCCTACTATTCTATGGGCTGGGCCGTGCTGGCATGGCGTGCCTAGGGTAAGGCCCAGGCACGGCCTGCTCCCTCGGACCGTGCCAGCCCGGGCCCGTTGGCTACCGGGCCAGGCCGGGCTTGGGCCGGACCAAAAATACGGGCCTCATGCCGGGCTGACGGGCTCGGGCTGCATGCCCATTTTACAAATATTCTGTTTTTTATAAACTTAGTCAAACTTTAAAAAGTTTGACCAACACGAATTCTATGTCCACTCTCTTTATGGGACACTAGGAGTAGTAGGTCTCATTTAGATATTTTAAGAATCCAGATAAAAAGAATCTCAGATCCCAAAATCTCTTTCAAACGTCGTAGGATTCTAGAACACATGGGCATAGAATCCATGAAACATCAGAGATTATTTTTATTCAAAATCTGGATTTTATAATCTCATAAAAACATGCGCGTAGTGTGTCGCTGGCTGACTAAAAGGATCCATCATGCTTTTCCTTTGCACCAGTTGATTTAAGTGACTTGAGGTGAGGAGGTGCTTGGGTAGCTTGGATTTTAGCAAATGTGGCTCGAGGTGCTTCACTAGCTTGGCCTCTAGCAAACACTGACGTATTGCATCCTTCCACCCCTTTTTGTCTCTGTCTCTCGATAGCATCACTAAAATTGGATCTTGCCTAATCGTGCACATGTTTGTCACACATTAAGTCTTATTCATGTATTCACCTTAATCTATGTATATTGAAGTGGTTTGGTGTGAAACTTAAACTAAATTTCACACAAAACTACTCTAACACACATGGATTGAAGTGAATATATGGACATCAAACAAACCCTTATGGCATTATTAACCACAACAATACAGGTGGATTTTTCTTATCTCTCGTCACAGCCGCTGGTCGCTGGCAACCGGAAAGGCTGAGGTGGACCGTGTTTGAAATGCTGACCGCCCCTGCAAGGTCCCTTTCTTGCTAGTCATTGCCAACACCTCGTCCCGTTCGTTTGAACTTATCAGCTTGGATTTATTAATCATAGAACAATGTTTTTCTTTCACAATAAATCTATTTTAGTCGATAAATCAGCTTTAGCGGATTATCAGCCGCGGAATTCATCAGCCGAAATCCTGACTCTCGGCGTCGAAAATGGCCGGCTTTTGCAGGAGTCACGCCTCACATGGCGGCGAATGGCACGCAATGGCGACGCGCCATGTGCCGGTTGCGGCGACCCGTACCCATCAGGCAGGCCAATCACGCACCATGCATCCGTCACACCACCACAGCAGCAGCGTAGCGTTCCTCTCTCCTCTCCAAGTGGCAACGCCGCGTCCGTCCATTCTCTGGCGCCTGGCGGCGGGGGATCCGCTGCATGCATCGCCGGTGCAACTTGGCCGGAGGAAGAGGACAGGCGGCTCCGGGCAGTGGCAATGCGCAGTCCTAGTGGCCTGGGCTGCGCTGTGCGCTGTGCGCTGCGCGCTGCGCCTGTTCGTGGCGCTCGCGCCCCAGGTTTGCTGCGCAAATCGTGTGCGCCTGGAAAGCTGTTTTGGAGTAGGCTACGGAGCCCCGTGGCAACCATGGCGTCGCTAAGCGTCACGTGCTTTGCAGCAGCACTGCTGCGTGCCTCTGGGCGTATCCGGCAGATTCTAGAACGTTCTCAAGGGAGAAGACGACGTACTAGCAGCAACTGCAGAGGCAACACAGGCGACGGGAATCGGCCGGGCCAATCCGGCAGGCGGCAGCAGGCGCCCGTGATGAGTCCATCCGTGACCGAGGGCGGCCAGGATCAGGAGGCCAGGCCCCGCGCCGCCAGTCATGTCGTCCGATTCGCGAACAGACTGTGACTGATTTCGGCTGATCTGATACAAGCTGAATGTGATCAGCCGAACGGGGTGAAAAGTTGCTCAGCCAGCCAGAGCCTGCAGCAGCCGCCTCAACTGTTGGTCCGTTCAGGCCGCGCGTTCGCGTTCTGGGTCCCCGAGTTCTCGAACATGGAAAGCTCCGGAACACGGTGGCCTTGGAACTGAAACGCGTGCCAACCCAATCGATCCACGTGTAGTACGCTACACGGCCAAAGACGAAGACGCACGCAATGCAGTTATCCATGTGTACACCGGGGATCCTTAAGGCTCCGTTCGTTTCTTTGGGAACGGGCCGTTCCGGCGGTCGTTCCGGGTGGAACGGAGCCATCCGTATTGAAAACTGGTGTATACTGGCCAGAACCAAACCTGGTCCGGCTGCTGGCCGAACGGGCCCTAAAAAAAAGTACACCGTACACCGGTCACCGGACATGTCGGAATCGTCAGAACCAGCGACCACATACAGATAGCCCCAGCGGCAGTCGATGAACCGTGCCACGTAGCTTCGCAGTGCTCACGGCCTATCCTAATGCTAGCGAATTCATTCATTCCCATCGAAGAAATTGGAGGCGCAGACACATGCTCGCCTCCGCTATCTCCGCAGCCGACGTCGCGCGGCCGATCCGGCGGCCACGCACGACGCTTTTCCTTGCAACTTGCACCACGAGACCAGCGCGGCAGCGATCTCCCTGAGCCCCTAGGCCCTCCCGATCGGACCGAGAGTGCAACGGAAACCAAACGATTCGGGCGTGGAAGCTCCAGGTCCATCAGGTGGATCGGAGGCAGCAGCAAGGGAATCGGAGTGAGTGGTGGTGCGCGGCAACCGGGGCGGGCCGTGTGGTGTGTGGTAGACTGGTAGGTGGTTGGTGAATGGTGAGGCCTTTTTGGCCGTTTTGTGGCGCCGGGTCCCGGTTTCCGCGCTAGCCTCTAGCGTCGTGTCGTCCGGCCAGCGCGCGCCCGTGAGGCCGTGACCAGGAGGAGGGAGAGCCCCGGCAGACGGCAGCCACCTGTGAGTGAAGCTGTGTGTGATGGGAATGTGATTGCGAGCTTGTAACGCTGTGCTACTACTTCTACTACATATATGCTGTATCACCTACCACGTTACACTTGGTTTGAGGTTCGGTTTCAACCAACCAGTGCCACGATGAAGTACTGCACACCACTCTGCCAGCCAGCCAACAAGCCACGCCCAAGAGATGGTTCCGTGAAGAAACAACGGCGACGATGCTCTCACCCAAGCCGCGCACACGCATCACCGGTATGGTTAAAATTTCCGAATCCGACGTCCACTTGCCCCCGGCTCTCGAGAGACCTTGTCAGCAGCGGCATCATTCCACGTCCACGCCCCTGGGACCCCGGCCCAATCACTGCAGCCGCCCCGAGCTTGGTCTTTGCCATTGCAATCATACAAACAGCAGCTACTCGCCTGTACCTGTACAATGCCTACACCTAATACAAACCACCATGTACACATACAGTATGCTCGTCAAATTGCCAAAAGGAAAACAATCTATTATCTATGCAGCCTCTGGTTCTGGGAAACCGAAACCCAACCTTGTCACCCAACCCACCATGGCCGGACGCCGGCGAACTCGCAGTGTGCTCTCCTCCAGCAATTGCCTGCGCCGCGCCGCCGTTGCGCGGATGTCGATGCCCCTACAAGACGACCTGGGCATGTGAACCAAGCGTCCAAGGGGTCAGTCGGTTTAATCATACTGACACAATCGTGTCATCCATCCATTCAGACTATATACCAGCAGGCAGCAGCAGGTGGCAAATGATTCGAACGGACGGTACAGCATACAGACATTCCACTTCCTCCCCCCGTGAACCGCCACCAGCAGTCCAGCAGTTTAGTAGTACGAGTACAGGTAAGCCGCCTTGTCTATTTTTTTTTTTTTCCGGGGTGCCGGCAACAAGTGGCGACAGCCAGTGCCGCCTTGAAGACGATTCCTTCCTTCCTCCTCCTCCTCCAACCAACCGATTCTCACGAAAAGACGGAGGTAAAGGAAACCGCGAGGGGGATAAAACTGTGATATGTTCATGCACTAAAGTGACAAAAGGAAGACAAAGACGACACCTTCAATTCTCTGTGACGCTGTTACGAGCCAATGCTCCTCAAAGATGCACGTGACTACGTGAGCCGGGACGCCTGGTCCCAAGGCCATTTCCTTCTCTCACTCAGCCTTGCTGAATGCTGAAGGCTGAAGAAGGGAGGGACGAAGGCCATGAAGTGAAGCCCTTATTTAAATCCCCTCTTTCCCTCCTCAAACTCAAAGCCACATACTCTGGATATCACCTTGCCTTCCTTCCACACACACATACAGACATACACTCTCAAGACTGCCTGAATAGGAGATAGACACAGAGTTACAAACGCAGAGATGATGCCGAGGCTAAAAGGTCTCACCTTCCTGCTTCTGCTCCTCCTCCTCGTTCTCTGCTCCGGCGTTCATCAATGCGACGCGAGGAGTGGCAAGCGCTGGAGTTGGAGGCGAAGCAGCAGAGCACCGTCCACCTCCGCGCTCAGGAGAAAAGGGAAAGCGAAGAGCAGCAGCAGCAGCTCCCACAAGCAGAACGGCAAAGGGAGTCAGAGTCCACACCAGCCCAGCCCGGCACCTCCTGCTAGCCCGAGCGGAGACCCTGTGAAGGGCAATGGAAGCCAGGCTCCTCCAGCAATGCCGGCACCTAGCGGCGGCGGGTATGGATACCCACTGCCGCCTCCACCGCCGCTGCAGACCTCACCAGCGGCACCTTCACCACCAGCGGCGCCACCGTCACAAAATACAGTCTTTAACGTGGTGGATTTTGGAGCCAAGGGTGATGGAGTTACTGATGATACTCAGGTCACCATCACTGCCTTCAAAATCCTCTGCTTCCAACTAGGACGCTTCTGTTGCCTGCATCATATATTCTGAGCTAGATTTTTTCCCCTGGCATCCTGGTATATTCAGTTTCGGTTTTTACAGCTAGTATAGTATCCTCAAATGACTATATATTCTGAGCTGGATTATTTTTTCCGGCATCCTGGCATATTCAGTTTCATTTTTACAGTTAGCATCCTCAAATGAACCTCTAATGTCCATTAGCAGACACATTGCTATTGCTACCAACCAAGTACCACCGCAATATTTGAAGTTCAAATTTAGAATGCCCCAAGTATTGGAATTTCAAATAAACACTCAGCTACTGACATTCGTTCGCGTTGATCACATTTTGCGCAGAAAGTTTTCTTAATTTTTCTTTTTAAAAAAATATGCTATCATATATTCTCAGTAAGCGCACTTCAGGACATGATTGCCGAGGTTCCTGTTTCTTTAGAAAAAATGGTCACACATTTTTTTCCCCAGTGCATTAGCCTTTGGAAAATGCTAAACACCATTTGGTCTTAAAGGTTAGAGTTTCACATGATAGTGCAAGTGCATATGGCGCCAGAACCTAGATTTGGTTTTTGTGCATAGTTTGTCTTTTCTCATATATGATTGGGTGCATTTCTGGAAAGGCACATGTCTTTTACGCATTATTCTGGACTGCATTTTATTTGGGATAAAGAAATGGGAATCATGTAGATCAATGGTCCACAAGAGTACAAGCCTCTGATAGTTTTACTTGCAGAACTGTATGTGCCTGGATTCCCTAGAATAAGGTTTAGGCTAGCAATTATATCCTTGTGATGTTCAAAGATATGACAACCCTCAAACAGTAAGGAGATTGGATATATTCATATATTGATTCTTGTCAATTCTTTGTTTCCTTGCATTTTCAAGAGTATAAATATCTTTTATAATGAACCAAAGTAGATTATGTGAAACTACCCTCATTTTATAACCTAAAGTAATATTTCTTTCTTTGTCCATTTTGAGCAAGGAGTTATGTCTCGTGCAGATGTGCTCATACATGGGCTCACCATTAATGATATGGATGGCACAGAGAAGTGTTCCCAAAAGGTTAACTGAATAATTGTCTATTTATACAGGCCTTTCAAGCAGCATGGGCAGCAGCATGCAAGGTGGAGGCATCTACAATTCTTGTACCATCTGAACTTCAGTTTGTTGTGGGCCCAATCTCATTCTCTGGGCCTTACTGTAAACCAAATATTCTATTCCAGGTAAATCTACTTCGAAGTTCTAACTCTAATGTGTGTCCTTACATGACTAGTAGAAAAATAGGCATGTGTTAGAATTGCTGGCTGAACCGCACATGCCTGAAACTAGCTAAATCTTTTGTTAAGTGCTGCATCAGCAATTCAGTACCAATTCGTTTTTAGTGTTTTATTAAACACCATAAGATCAACTGCAGAAAATGGATGTATATTTGTTTGACAAAAAAAAGTGAGACCAAAACAAGCACTCTATATCTGATCAATTTCCTGATACTGTTATGGCCAGTCAGCAAATTATGCAACAAAAATATTGACAAACTGAAGAACAAATTAAATAAGCAGGAGTACTGGTATCAAATGGCATGTTCTAATTTTGCAGCTAGATGGAACTATTTTAGCTCAAACCAGTGCAAGAGCGTGGGGTTCTGGTTTGCTTCAATGGCTTGAGTTCACAAAGCTAACTGGAATAGCAATCCAAGGCAGTGGTGTAATAAATGGCAGGGGGCAAGAATGGTGGACATATTCAGATCCAAATGACGATGACAACGACGACGCAGTAAGGCCTGACCATCTAATTACATCCTACTTATAGAGAGGTGAAAACAATTTTAATTGCTTACCTGGATGCTTTCCAACAGTACTATGTGGAGCTAGACAAGATGCCACAGATTAAACCTACGGTAAGCAGACTATTATTGCAGCACTTGAACATTTTCGTAGATGCATATTAAACATTGCGTACTTTGATGCAGGCACTGAGGTTTTATGGCAGTTCCAATGTCACAGTAACTGGGATAACGATTGTCAACAGCTCCCAGTGCCATCTCAAGTTCGATAGCTGTCAAGGAGTCATGGTTCACGACTTGACCATCTCTTCCCCTGAGAATAGTCCCAATACTGATGGAATACACCTGCAAAACTCCAAAGAAGTCAACATTCACCACACTAACCTGGCTTGCGGTAATGCTAAAAGAACTCATATCCCAACCCCAATACGACCAACCCTTTTTGTGCTCACTAAACAAGTTCACAGGAATTTGAGTTAAAAAGACACCTGATGTACTATATAGATAAAGAGACGTATTCTGGTAACCAGCCATATTAGATAACTGCAGAACTTCTAAATAAAGGGCAAGATTCAGGAGTAACAGAGCAATCTCAATAACACTAGTACGAGCCGGAGTTTAACTGGTTCTAAAAGTAAAACCTGCTATTAACACGAATTTTTGTGCACGTGCAATGCAGGTGATGACTGTGTTTCCATACAAACAGGATGCAGTGATGTAAACATACATAACGTGAACTGTGGACCAGGACATGGGATCAGCATTGGTGGTCTAGGGAGGTACAACACAAAAGCATGTGTATCCAACATCACCGTAAGAGATGTTAAAATGTTCAGAACAATGACGGGTGTCAGAATCAAGACTTGGCAGGTAAGCACAACCTGAAAGCTCCAGAGCCATCCACCCAGCAAGCACTTCTGCATTCACCGAGCTGGCGAGCTAAACGCGCTGACATCTTGACGCAGGGCGGTTCAGGGCTGGTCCAAGGCATAAGGTTCTCAAACATACAGGTTTCAGAAGTGCAGACACCTATCATAATAGATCAATTCTACTGCGACAAGACGACGTGCAGGAACCAGACATCAGCAGTGGCCGTTTCAGGCGTTCAGTACGAGAACATCAGGGGCACTTTCACGATCAAGCCTGCCCACTTCGCGTGCAGCGACAGCTCGCCTTGTTCGGAGATCACTCTCACCGGGATACAACTCAAGCCACTGCTAGTGCCACAGTACCATCTCTACAACCCCTTCTGCTGGCAGGCGTTCGGAGAGCTGTACACCCCCACCGTGCCTCCCATATCTTGCTTGCAGATCGGCAAGCCAGCAGGGAACAGCGTGCTGTCTGACGGTGACCTTTGCTGAAACGCCGATCCGGGAATTAGTGTTACTGCTGGTGTTCATCAGTTAAGGCGGTCGTTGTGATTCTAACGACCCCTTTGCGCGATGCTGTGTAACTGTGCATAGTGCATCTATGCAGCTACTGTCAGGATCAGGAATCAGGATGTGGCTTCCATGGCACATACCAATTCCCCTCTTGCTAGGAAAGGTAGTGTTTGCACAGTGTCTCCATTTTCCCGTGATGCATCTTGTATGGGATACTTCAGGGTAAGAGTGACATAGGATGAGTCGTCTGTAAACAACAAATAATTACGGAGTAATAGTAAGTAGCAAAGCCTACTCTCTCTTCAGATGCAGCTATCGTTGGGTGATAGATCCAGCTATCCGTTGTTCGGTACTTTTTTTTTTTCGAAAGACGTTGCAGCTATAGTCGGAAGAACAGCAAGATTTTTTATTAGTAGAAGCACCACCACTGCTACATTGAACAGTGGGAGCTGTTGGACGTCAACGTGGACGAGAATGACGAGCCGCACATGAACCGTGAGTACAGGCGCTACCAAGCTTGGTACCAAGGCGCGACACGTTGCAGGCTGAGGCTATAATGGACAGAAGATGACTACGCCGACATCGAGTCCTCCTCCGACGAAGACACGACGTACGACTATACTACTCGTGTAGAAAGGCAGGTGGAGGCAGGACCAATCTTGACAGGTGGAGGCATACCAATACAATCTTACTGAGAACTTTGTTGCAGAGCAACACCCTCAAATGCTCGGTTGAAGACATTGAGCGCTTTCGTCCGAGAGTCAGGGACGACGACACGCATAACTTCCTAGATGTAAGATTCTATTAATACGTTAAAATCTTTCAGTTAATATGATTTTGTACAACAGAGACTGTCACGTCGGCTACGCTGTGTGGCTGCTCGTTGTGGTTGTAGGACAGCCACGACGCAAGACGTGCATGTTCCTTAGGTTCGTCTAGCCAAGCACCTATAGGGTCCATAGGCATTGCGTACGAGGACGACGAGGAGGTGGACCAGAGGCACGAGGAGCTTAGACCGTCTCAGCTACAGGACGCTCCCTCGACTCAGCCTGCAGGCACTAGGCGACGCCGTCCACCTAACCCTTTCACTCTAGACACCGACGCTCTTGGTCACAAGGGTAAGGATAAGATTAGGAGGTAGTAAGGATTTGCGGTAGATGTTATTATGGACTATTATGAACTTTGTGGACTTTCATTATGAACTATTGTGGACTGTATGGACTATTATTATGGACTGTATGAACTACTATGGACTATAATTATAGACTGTGTGGACTATTAATATGCTCATGTATATGGTTTGAGATCAATGTGGCATATATTTGTATGTTTGAACATGTTGTATTGAGATTAAATATTCATGTCATATTTGTGTATGGATTGCATCAAAAAATAGGGAAAATTATGTCGAAATTTTCTGCCTAAAGTATATTTGTGCAGTACACCTATAGCATCTAGCCTTTATAGTGATTTATCATGTCATCGTCGAATAGGTTTTTCAGTGTCTTTCGAAATAGTGATTGAAGTCTGAATTTGAATAGGTTTTTTAGTCATGGAATCTAGTCTCTCCAGTGTCCTTCGATGTAGGCTTTTCAGTGATTCTGGAGTAGACTTTTCAGGAGCATTTACAACACAATACAACGGCTAGCAAACCTGCCTCCGCCTATATACTGGGATGCATTGCAAACCAAAAGCAAAACCAAACTGGTTTTCGGTTTCGTTGGAGTAGAAATGTCTGAAGAGTCATATAGACGAAAGGGTTTCGAGAGTGGGAAAGGAAAGGGGAGACGAAGGGAACTCCCATTGTGTGGGAGGGGTCTCTTGGTCCTGATTTCTTTGAGGAACCAGTGTATCAGTTTTCTCCCGAGAGTAAAAGTGATTTCACTAAAGAGTATCCTCTCAAAGGATACGATAACCGGAAGGAAGATTGGCCAAAATCATGCATGGTGAGGACTGCTTGGTGCATATGTTCACCGAGGGGATTGACGAAGGTCGTCGCTTCTTCAAATGCCCACGAGCATGGTAATTGCTATTACTATTCATTTGTTAAACATGTTTCTCTAATACACTTACAACTCACAGGACATACTTATTGTAGTCTTCCGAGTCTAAAGAAAACTATGGGTTCAATAGGTGGGTCGATCCTCGACCAATTTATCCGCATCAGCAGTATATCTACTACCTGTAGGATTGTATTTTTGATCTAGAAAGGAAAGTTGGCAGCTATTACAAGGAAGACGAAGACGACAACAACAACAATGGTGCTGATTCACAGGAGGCACTCTGCAATGATCCATATTGCACCTGCTTTAATCACAAGAACAAGGGGCCTTCGCCGCCACCCCCACCACCAGCACCACCAACAATGGGAGACTACCGTGGAGAAGGTGCAACACAATTTGCTATGTGGCCACACTATTAGGATGACCCTATCTTATTCACATGGCACATCCATATGTTTGTTGTTTGGCTTAATTACCTAAGGCATGTTAGGTTTAGTCGAAGGAACTATGTACCCTTGTTTGGTACATGTTTTCACATATCATTTCGTGTGCTTGTTGTTCGCTTCAATTACCTAAGGTATGTTAGGTTTAGTTCAGGACCTCTGTACCTTAATTTGGTACATGTTCTCACATGTCATTTAATGTGTTGTGCGTGTTGAATTATGTAATGCACTACTTCGTTAGATTTTATTTACAATACGTGATCTCATTTCACTACATCCGTAATATTAAACTGAATATTATGACCATAGATAATGAAAACAACAACACAATGAAAAGTCCAATACTAGGGCACATTAAACAACATAATAATACTAGAAGTACATATCGATAAACTAAATAACGCAGTGCATGACCTAAGTACGCCCATACTTAAAGTGCATTACATGACAACACAATGAAAAGTCCAAGAGTAGACAACATTGTTCATGAATAAACCATAGAACTAGCAAGTCATGGAGACTACTAAGGCCACTTTCCCTTTCTTAGGGCATCGGGATTCTCCTCCATCGCTGCTTTCGCTCGGCGCGCACGCTCAAGCTTCTTCTCCCTCTCCTCCCTGTATGCAGCAACACACCTCCTTTCCTCATCTTCCTTGTGCTCCTTTTTCTGCAGCCTCCTCTCTACGTCTCTTCTCCATCATCTCCTTGTCCTCTGCCTCCCACCACAATAGTTCTACATCCATTCCTTGTCGTCAGGCTTGATCTCAGTGTCGATCCACTGCTCAAAATCGCAGAATGATGGAGGGGTCTGCAACAAATGCAATTGTTACAAAACAAATAAATCATGTAAGATTGCATATGACACAAAATAATTATTACACGACATCAATTTCTCACCATCTTGTTAATGCGGAGCTGACGGAGTGTAGGCTCAAACGTAAAATTGGAACACATCCAATACCTCTGCCTATACGTGTCCTCTTCATCGGACTTGGCTACCTTACAAGGATCGCCGTATAAGCACATGGACACTAGAACACCACTAGGCAAAGGCAATAGGTCGAAGTTATTTTCGGTCATAACTACAATTCAACCAATTTCGTTCTAAGAACCGAAAGCAATTAATATTAAACCCTAAACCTAGGGTTTCCCATTTAATGCACAACAATGATCCCATAATATAACAACATGCGCTGAGATTACCTTGGTTTCCTAGTTTTTCCACGCCTTGGCATCCTATGGTTATATAATACAAATATTAAAAATTGCATGAAACCCTAAGTAATGACGATTCTTAGATTGAAAAATTCCGACTAATATATACCGAATCGATGCGAAAAAACTAGAAGGGGAGCGAGGATACCTTGCTCTCGAAGATATACGGATCAAATCAAAGTTTCCAAGGTCCAATATGCCGATTCGTGAGGTAGGGCGAAGTGGGGAGAGCAAAAATCCGAGAGGAGGAGAAAGAAAAGGAAAAAGCATCGGTCAGGAAGGTTGGACGCTGGTTTAAAACACCACCTCGGCGCCAATAATCCTGGCGCCAAGCTCGGCGCCAATGACCCCGGCGCCGAGGTGGCTGCCATGTCACCGTCACGTCTGCGTCGACATCTACGTCAACCCAAGACCTTGGCGCCAAATGTTCTGACGCCGAGATGTGTAAGCTCGACGTCAATTATGTCGGCACCGAGATGATGGTTTAGATTTTGAAAGCATACCTCTAAGGACAGATTTGTGAAAAACTTTCAAAAAAAAAAAGGGGCAAAAAAAATCTGAGTCTGCTGCACCAGACGGATAGGAAAGTGTTTTCTCGGATGTGTGATGCAACGATAATTCCTCTTATAAATTATTTTTCACCCCCGAATTGGATGGATCTCCTGACTTTCCTGAGTCACGCTTAGCTCTGCGTTACCTTTTGTACCGTCGATCTGCTGGTCTATTCGGCCAAAAATTGTTGGTCTGCTTATGATGCTCTGATGTCCGTTGTGACGTGTCACTCATGCTTTCATTCTGTTCTGTGCTACCGCAATCGTTTTGTCAGGCTGTACCTGTACAACACATTGTCCTACTACGTATACCGAGTAGAAAAGCTTTATTGATGCAATCAACACTATGTAAGGTCACTCACACTCCAGCATCAGCAGCTCTCCTCCTCCCATCAGACACCTCACCATTTTCACTCGTACAACACGGGGAAGTAGGCGTCGTAGGTGCACCTCCGCCGCGCGGACATCAGCGCCAACAGCTTCCGGTTGCAGAGCTGGAACTGCGGCGGCCTGTCGTCGTCGTGGGGCGTCGCGGGAACCCTGCCCGGGAGCCCCAGCTGCCGCTGCAGCTCCGCGAACTCCTCGCCTCGTCGGACCACGCGGTCGTAGCAGATGTACCGCCCCCCGGCCGTGCCGCTCATCTCCTCGTACACGCGGACGTGCGCCTCCGCCACCTTCTCCACGTTCGCCGTCGCCAGCAGGCCTTCGGCGAGCAATGCATGCGCTCCTGCGAACGTACAAGATACAGATGTGGTGAACTCGAATTT